ATCATACTTCACTATATTTCTTTATAAATAACTTTAAATTATTTTCGTAATTTAATTTACATTATGGCTCACGAATTTTTCGACTACGATTCAGGCGATCAATCTGAATTCACAGATAAAAACTCTAATGACGCTAGTTTTAATGAAGAGAATCCAATTCCTGTAGTTTTAGTCGAAGGGTTTATGGGCCCAAGCAAACCTTCTTATTGGGGTCCAATAGAATTTTTTTTTCTAATTCTTATTAAGATCATTATAATAATTCTGGTATAGACAAGAATGAGAAGAAACAATATCCCAAGACTAGACGTTGCATTTTCGTTACACCTGGTTGTGGAAGTTCTTTACACGACAGAGCTGTTGAGATTTTTTATCAAATTAAAGGTGGAAGAGGTACGCAATAGACACGTGATAGTTGATCGACAGCTTATTTCACACTTACTACACGTGAATTTATGAATTAACCCTTCAATTAGTCGATTATGGAAAAGATCACGCTCTAAAATATGGCCATTCACGTTACGGTCGGGAATGTCCTGGTATTTATACTGTTAATATAAAATAAGCTATAAACCAATAAAGTATTGTAGTATTTAAAATTTATTTGATTTAGGATTATATCCTGAATGGAGCGTTTCTAAGCCACTCCATTTTCTTGGACATTCATTTGTAATACATAATCTTAAATTCACTCATATTTATACCTTTTATTTATTTGATTCATGATAACTTTCTTAGATTATGATTTCTTTAAAATAATAGGGTGGTGTGACTATTTGGAAACTTCAACAATTACTCGCAAGTGATCTTTTCCCAGCATATCATGAACCTCATCCTGACATGGTTCGATCTCTTACAGCTATCTCATCTCCATTCAAAGGTATAATAATATCAATATTTATCATCTTCAGCTTTAATCAATTAGCATTGTCTAATATGAGTTAATAATTATAGGAAGTCATGCTGTTTGCATAGTAGGTAGATGCACTGAAGATGTAAGATCGATCCGTCCAATTAGTTTTGGAGCCTTAATTGGTAGAATGATTCATATTCATGAATATTTTGATATAAAATGGATAAAAAAATTGACATATGATTTCAATTGCGATCAATGGAATTTAAGTTTTAAAAAAAATTTCCAATCAATGTGGGATGAATATTTTGGAGACAAATATATTTCAGGTGACTCTGAGTGCCAAAACTCGGAGAAAGAAAAAACATATGGTCTGTTACAATTTTTATTCAAAAGCCCTTGGATGTATTGCGAAGATAACGCGACTTATGACTTGACAATCCATGCAATGAATGATTTAAATAATAAATGTCGTACCTTTGAAAATACATTTTATAGAACTTATGCCGCATCTATCGTAAGTAATGACGTTGTTGACATTTAAATAAACATCTATGTATCAAATGCCATGTATATAATAATTATTATTTTAATAGA